TTATTATAAGTACATAAATGTTTCTATACGCCGTAAAATAAAATTATATTCTATTTGAATAAAAAGCTGTTTGTACGGGAAATTATGAAACAAGTTAATTTAAACCGCAATCAATGTATGTATGAATATATGAAAGACGTCTATGTCATGTAGACTATCTTGTCTAAAATAGAACAAAAAAGACACAAACCAAAAAAAAACAAGAGCAAATTGACTGCGGTTCTTGAAATATTGCCAGAATTTTATGGTAATAATAGAACATTTTTATTAAACTTGTTGAAATCAATACATGTAAGAATAGTTATACAAAATTTATAAAATGGATGCATGTATAAAAGTTAGAAACTTTATATATATTCATATTAAACTTTACTTTAATTGCTCAATCATTTTGATAATATAAAATAAATTTAGTTGGCGAAGATTAAAGGTGTACTCTAGTATCTTCCTTGTATAGAACATTATTAAAATTTTAGAGAATTTTTGTTCCATTTCAGAAATTTTTTTCAAAAATGTTAAGTAAGATTAGAATATTTTTCTTTTTAAAGTTTTCAATTAAAAATGTTCTTCAACATAATGTCTGTTCGTATACATAATGTCTATAAGGCCCCTGGTCCTAAACTTAAATTATTTTCCGAAGAATTTCCGATTTAACAAAATTTACAACAGCAATGCTTAGTATTTTATATTCTGAAGTATTCCGAAGTATTCCGAAGTATTCCGATTGAAATACTTCTGTTTAAACTTTGTTATTTTCACATTCACTCCTGGAAATGTTTTAATTATTTTTTTTTTTTTATTTTTTCTAGTTAAAAAAAAAAATTTTGCTTTGAATTTTTTTCTAAAATTTTCAAATTAAATTTTGTTTTTAATTCAGTGTTTAAATTTACAATCATTGTTTTTCAATAGCAGAGTTAAAAATATTAGTCGATTTCTTCACGTAAATAATTTCCAACAAGTCTTGTATAATTTTCATACAAATTTCGAAATTATTTTTGAATAAGGGAAAAGATGTCTGGCTGATTAGTTCAGTTGAGATTTCTATATGGATATAGGAATTGATTTTTAGAGTTCCATTGCAGTCCCTTCTTCAATAGGAAGAAGATATGGGTTTAAAATGAGCCTTTGTTTTGAATTTTCATATATTTCCATTTTCTGTAGTTCATCTTGAGATTCCTTTTTCCTAGTGAGGTAAAAGTTGGAAAATCAAATTAAATGAATCCAAATCGTCACACGTCAACTTTGCTAACAAAAAAATAGAACACCTCTCTGGGTTTCAATAAATAACGTTACTATTCCGCATGAAAATTCAGCCAAATACCTAAGAATGACACTAGATTCGAAATTGAGATGGAAAGAACATGTCAAGAAAAAGAGGCTAGTTGATCGTAAATTTTCGCTCTCCATGCACAGCGAAATTTTTATCTACAATCAAATATTAAAGCCAGTCTGGGCTTATGGTATTGAGATATGGGATTGTGCAGAACAACTTCATATTCAAACTATTTAAACGTTTCAAAATAGAGTATTACGCAATATTGTCGGCGCCCTCTGGTACGTTCGTGATACTGATATTCATAGGGCTCTCAAGATTCCTTTCATTACAGACGAAATAAGGAAAAGGACTGCATGCCACAAAATTCGTCTTTTCCGACACGCCAACGAAGAGATGGCACGTTTAGCTGACGATCAAAATTTTGTTAGACGACTCAAATGAACGAAACCCTTTGAACTGTGTTAGGATAACATCTATTACCTATTAAATATTGCTAATGGAATTATGGTAGATCATAGGGTTCTTTAAAAACAAAAAATGAGTTTTTTGACTAAATTTATATTGATGGTTAGTCTAATACGAGTAACTAGGTTTAGTTTAAACACCGATCGAAAGTTTTAGTGATCTTAAAGTGGCATAGTATTTGAACCTGCATTCCGGTAGGCTGCCACTGAATTTTCTGTCGATGATTTCCTCCGATCGAAAAAAAAAAAATTCTGTAGTTCCTAAATTAATAAATATATACTGAGATATTGAAATACTTTACTGGATTATTGTAGTAGAGGCATAAGGTGAGAATCTTTTTTCATAATTGTAATAACCAGTGTTGCATTTGTGTTTCTGCTACATATTTGAAATCATTAGGTAATAATAATTATTGTTGAATTATAATCAAACAGAAATAGTTGTATTTCCATCGTGTGCACCATAGTCCTACCATGTATTTATTCAACTGTTTAAATAATTAATATAATTGCATACGTTTCACGAACAGTGTATTCCACATGAACAATTTTAAATCTTTAACTGACAACAGGTAATCTATAATGTCTAGATCGATTTATAGTTGAACAAACAAAAATTAGTAGATCAACGTTGTGGAAAATATTGAAAGTTTGGTTTAATTAAGAAATATTCGTTAAAAAAATGGAACGACGTTACGTGTAATGTAAAATATACTTGAAATATTTTGAAGGCCCACGTTTTCTAAGTAGAACAGGTAAACAAGTTCCAATTATGAAGTGAAGATGACTTGTTTTTGCCTGTTGCCATTTATCTCTTCATGACTACTGCTTTAGTTTTTATTATTTGTACATTCAAATAACATAGCCCAATGAAAATTATGATTGGTGACATCACTTGGTGTACTTAATAAAAAAATCTGATGTGGTCAGCACATAACCGACCGCATTGTGTATTGTCTAGTTAAATGAAAGTGTTACAGAATATTATAAAAATGTCTGTTAAATACTTCTTTCCAATTTTTAGGACATTAGTAAGCTTATAGTTAACATACTTAGAAAAATGTAAATTTGGCTCTTAGTAGAGTTTCGCTTTGTGCTACCCGAATTCCCTGAAATGCTCGCCAGTTAGTTTCGGTAACAACCAGAACTCAAATATCAAATTTCAAGAAATTCCATCAATTTGTTCTGTGGATATGGTGAAAAATGTAAAATCGGCCCGCAAATCAGTTCTCGACCCCTGATCTTTCCAAAAAAGTTATATGTTCATTGCTTTAATATGAGGAATTCATATATTAAATTTCAATGAAATCGGTTGATTATTTCTCTTTATATACACAAAAATGTATATTTGGCCCGTAGTAAACGTCTAGTTGCCGATGCCTGATTTCTTCCAAAACATACGAATTTTTGCGGACGGTCGAACTGAGCTTATATATAAAATTTCAAGTAAATCGGTTGAATATTTTCTCCAAAATGTTCAAAAATGTAAAACAGGCCCGCTAAAAAGTGCAGTTCCCGAGGCCTGATATATACCAAAAGTTGATCGATCCGTGCCATGGTGGAAACAAACTTACATATAAAATTTCATCAAAATCGGTTCAGCCGAACTTGAGATACACGCGTGCACACACAGACCGACAGACCGACAGACCGACAGACCGACAGGTTGCTAAAAATAGTTTATTTACACTTCCCTACTATGGAGAAGTACGTTCCCACCGAAAACTCGATATGCAAAATTTGTTGCCATCACATAACCTACCTATTGTTTACACAATACGGTCGGTAAAAATTAAATTAGTTTTTATATATTAAGGTTATTTTCGTTAGGAAATCCATTCTTTTAGATTTTTTCCTGTGTAGTTTGTTTTTTTTTTATGATTTGGTGTAATTTTAACGGTACAACAATAATAGAAAAACAAAGCGGTAAATGAAAAAATTAATGGAAAAATGATGCACTGAAAAATTGCTACAATTTTTATTTTTTTTAATTTCCCATTTCAGTTATTAAGTACAAAAAAATGTTATAAAATCAGAGCTCTGTAACGATAATAATGCGATTTTACCTTTATTCAGTAATTTCTGTCATATAATAGAATAATATGTGTGTTTGGTTTGTATGTGCTATTTGGATATAAAAACTAGCAGTCATTGATGTGTGTTTTGCATTCTTTTCCTATTTATTCTTTGTATAATTCGTTTGCCTTTTTTAGTTTCTAGTATGGTGATTCTAAATTTATTTTATCGTTTAGAAGGACACGATGAGAAGTTTTACATAAAAGAATATTTTGAAATAATCCAGTTTGCTGGTATCTGAGTAAAATTTAAAACTTACTTTGCTGACCTACACTTCATTATCGATTTATTTTGTACTCCATGCAGTTTCTCATTTTAGGAAAAGGTATGATATTGTAGACAAAGACGTTAAACTCGGAAATTGTAAATGTTATATTCTTATTATAGGTCTTAACAACTGAAATTTATTTATAGCAACTTATAGAAATTATGTAATTTGAGTTCTTCAATTCAATTCTGATTTGGAAGTCAACATTTTGTGAGTTATAATTTATTAGTTTTTCTCTAGACCAAATAATAGAGTAATTTTGATTCATGAAATGTTAACACTTTTAAAAACTTGTTGTGATAATTAAATTATAAATAGGTAATAAAAGTAAGATTCCGTGCATTTGTTCAAAACAGAAATTGTAGGACGCGGGTGAATATGTTGGTTTGTATAAGAACCATTTTGTTCTCAAACCATCCGTAATTAAATCGGAACTTTTTGTTTTTAATTTGTGACTATCGCACTCAAAATAAGAAGAGCGTAACATTATTATTTTAATAAACTAACAACTTGGGAAGAAAAGGGTTAATTAAATAAATTTGGAAAAATATTTCAAACCAATTAAATCACGCGAGCAAACTTTTTTTTCCAACAAGGGTCATTCCAACTCGCTCGTGTCTTTTAAAAATTCATTTTACGCCCAATAAAAGCCTACTTAAATAATTTTGTAAATATTTAGAGATTTTGTTGTTACGCGTTACATAGACTTATGAGTGATATCTTATAATGGAAGGGCTAAATATGTTGTTTTTCAGTTTTCATTTTATTTGCAATTTATTACTTAAATGAATTTTATTATTAATTTCATTTTCATAATAAAAAATGCAGCTATTTTTATATATGTATGTACGTAGGTAAAAGTTTATATTGTTTGTTTTAAATTTATTATTTTTAATTTTTTTTTTTATATTTGCAGATGGTACCGAGTTTCTGATTCAGATGCACTATATCCAATCCCATCATCACAACGTGTAATTGTATCAAGGACTCTATTATTAATAAAAAACGCTGATGATCGTGATACAGGAAAATGGGTAAGTTAGGCAGAGTAAATAAAAAATGAAAAGGAAAAAAAAAATTTAAACGAATCGGAAGTAAATTTTTTCATATATCAACGGTATTTTGTTTTTGCTATGCTTCAATGTAACCGTAAATTAATCAAAGTGAAAATTTAAAAACGTTTATATAAATTTAATTTTTGTATAAATTTTTTAAGGAGCCCCTGAAATAATGGGTGTTTAAGGGCCGTTTCCTTTAACAATTCAATCTAAATCCCTTTTATTTCGATTCTGTTTCATTTTGTTCTTTACACTTTCATAAGTGTATGCCGAATCTATTGGGAATTCGATTAATTTTTGACCTTTTTACACTGCGATTGCGATTGTTTTTGGATGAAAATCAAAACGTATAAGAATTTGAATAAGATAAGGGAAGATAGGATACACCTTGAAGTTTATGTAGGTAAAACAATGACTTTAAATCCGTAAATAAATTTTACGAATAATAAAAAAAATTTAACACCGTTTTTAAAAATTCTGTTTTATCATAAAAGTGACAATAAATGAACTAGTTTTAAGGGCGTGCAAAAAATGGAAAAAAGTGTCGTATGAAATGTCAGTGAAAGTTAATAGGTTCTTTTTATGTAATTTTCTGTGTGTACTTTGGGCATCTGGTATTTTCTGTGATAAAATATCATTTTTCTGAATCTGTCCGCAGGCTTCTAACTTATAGTTGACGCGCGTATAAATAATCGATATTGAGGGTTTATTTCACTCGTGATTTTGGGGCCTCCATAATGGAAATTTTTATTTTTATTCTATTTAAATAACTCTATTCGCGAATCAGATCGAATCTGAATCTTGTATTAGAAAATATTTATATATATTTATATATATTTATCAAAATTTTGATGTGATCAGCATAAAGTCGACCGCAAGGTGTTTCCAGTTTAGCGAAAGTGTTGAAAAAGGTTATGAAAATACCTTGCAAACACTTCTCTCAAATTAAGTGTTATAATCAATGGTCGAAGTGGGATACTCAAAGTGGTGAGATGGTAAAAAAAAAAAAATAAAAAAAAAAAATTTTTTTTAAAAATAACTCAACAAAATTTACCAAACTTTGGAAGTAAACTAACGAGAATATTTATATTCAAAATTAAATCAACTAAAAATTGAATCAACAACTGTGCAAATTGTTACCAAAGAAATGCATAGACTACTATGTAGTAACGAAAATTTCATTAATAGAAAAAAATTATACGTTACTATTTGAAATTGGTCTTATTTAAAATTACATACATATATTTAATTTTTTGTTAAAAAAATTTTTAAAATTCATTAGAAAATTTTCTTAAATTTTAAAAAAGATGTTCCGGAACGCATTTTTCTCTTCTATTAAGTAGTGGGATGGATTTCCAATTATTTAAAAGTACTGGGATGGCATCCCACTCCATCCCGCCTCACTTCGAGCACTGGTTATAATAAGCTTTTAGTAAACATACCTAGAAAAATATGAATTTGGCTTTTAGTGAAGTTTTCCTTTATATCATCCGGATTCCGTGAAAAGTTCATCAATAACAATATGGTAACAAACAGAAGTTTAATACTAAATTTCTTAATTTATTATGAAATATAAAATTATATAAACATTCCGGCAATTAGTTTCTAAAATATATAAAATCGACCCTCTAGTAAAAGTTCGGTTTCAGAGCCGTGATATTCCCAAAAAATATATACATAAGTTCATTGTTTTGACGAGTGAATTTAAAAATCGATTTTCAAGTAAATTGGTTGGATTACTTCTCTTTATATGCGCAAAAATGTAAATTTTACCTGTAAAAAATGCAGCTCCATGGAGCTACCAAATTTAAATGGTTTCTTGTACTGTCAGAAGAAGGTTATAAATAAAATTTCGAGAAAATCTATTGAAATTTTTTTTTTTAAATTATCAAAAATCTCAGATATTCTCGTAAAAAGGTTCAGTTCCTGAGAACTGACATATCTCAAAAGTTGATAAATCCGTGAAGTAGCCAAAGTTAGCTTATATACAAATTTTCGATCGAACTTGAAATGGGTACGACGAATACACATATACCATAGAGAAGTGCGTTTCCTCTGAAAATTCGATACGCAAAAGATATTCGAAATTTTGTATCATCCCATAAACTCCCTTATTGTATGCAATGCGGTTGGTAAAAATTAAGAATTATATTGGCGATCGCTTACATCACGGATGTTCCGGTATCGAATAGAAAATATACAATAAAGAGTTATGTGAAAGCAGATGTCAAGTGAAAACTGTTCCTTATTGTGAATAACAAATATTTTGAGTTAACTATAAAAGAGCTGGGGTAACTTAGGAAACATTGAAAAAAGGTTTTCAGATAAATTGTAGTAACTAGAGTGCGCAGAATTTACGCCAAAATATTTCCAAATTGCGTAACAAAATATTTATGCCAGAGAAGGTTCCTACTTCTTGACTTGGATAATAAACTATATGAATAAAAAGAATCGGAAACAAGCCAAGGTTATACAATAGGCCCCTTTTGCTATTGAAAAATACTATTCTATTTCAAACTTTAAAATTTAATTCGGTTTCATCAAAGTTTTGAAAATTTTCTAAAATTAAGATTTGAGAACAAAAAATAGAAAATTCATGAATGCGGTTTACTTCAAGTGAATTTGGTTTACTTCAACAACCAAGTGAATTTTATTATAAATTAGCAATTTTAAATTCTTTTTTTCTCTACATTTTACTTTACATTTACTTTTGTTATATATAATGTATGAGTAAATAATATTCGTTTCCTTCTGAATTTATATTTCGAGGTTAAACGCTTGAATATTATTATTAAATATTTTATATCACATCCATACATAAATAACATATACACATACAGTGCCATATAATTTGTATTCGTGTGTTTACTATAAAATATATAAATATATAAAATTGAATTTTTAAAAAACGACATTGGATAGCGGGGGGGCGTACGAATATTAAAAATATCTACTAGAGTTGTAAAGACTTTCTGTATGTACGAAAGAAAATTTAGTTAATAAAAAAACATTTATTTGTATAAATGTTATATAAGTTATAGGGTAAAGTTAAATGTCAGATTAAGGATAGACAGTTAAGTGATCTTTATATAAAAATAAATATATGTATATTTATATATAAATATTATGTACATATCAAGTATTTATTTAAATATTTGAAGTGTAAACTGAAACTTGAAAATATTTTTGATTTATGCAAATTTATTTACACATTTATTATAAAGTTATGTACAGTACCATCAAAAGTATATTAGGTATTTGTATATACATATATACAATGTGTATATATAAATGTGAATTTGTTAGAATTGTGTGTACATCAGTTTATTTTGATATTTTGCTGTTAGATATTGAAATCTATGACTTTGTTTTGCACATTTTTAAAATTCGTGTACCAATTTGATATTATGCAAAGTATTTTATATCTTTCATCACATCTACTCCTTTTTGCGTCCTTAAAAGTTATTTAATAAATAAAATTTTGCGTGGTGGGTGGGGGGAAGGAGGGGGATGTTTTGAAATATTTTAATATTTAAAGATTTGTGAAATAAAATGAAAAATATATTTTTGAAATCAATACAATAAAGTTGAGAATGATAATTGAATTAATAATTGAGGGTTTTAGTTTAAAAATAAAATAAGTGAGTAAAAATAAGTTGATTTTAAACAAATAAAAGAATTTATTTTATTAGAATTAATTCTTATGAAAGTTGATATAAAGTTTTTAGACATCAATAGATACTGTTAAAGAATTATAACAAAACTGAATCTTGGAAAAAGAATGAGAATGAAAAACCGTGAGAAATCAATTGTGCTCTCTTCAGAACGCATAGTACTTTCGCTGTGGTGAATCAGCAGAATAAGGAGCCTGCTAACTATAGCTTTCCCTTTTCATGAATGTTTAACTTTTAAGACAATTGCTTTCAAAGACGTTCAAAATTGAGAAGCAATTTTCAAAGAGAACTGCACTTAAATAGAAAAAGATTTTCTATTTGTGGAATTTCAAAAAATAACATTCAAAATCACTTATGTAATTAAAATAAAACAGTTTGATGACAACGATTACACGGTCAGTGTTCATGTCAGTTTATATTGTCATTAGTGTTCATTTCACTGATTTCACATATATTTTGTTGATGGAGAAAAGAATGACGGAAAAGCATTATTAAATTTTCTTCTGTTATTCAATTCTATTGTTTCCAGTTCATAAAATTAACGTTCCAAATTAAACGTTAAAACCGTTTGGTAATGCCGTTTTGTGGTCGATTTATAGTCGTGTTGTGGTTAAGTTTATTTAAAATTCAAAATGGACTGAAATAAAATTCAAACAGCTGTTCTTATAAATTTATTAAATTTAAATGGAGAGATTATAATAAAAGTCCCAATTTTTTTTTTCTCAAAAAAACACAAAAGAGCTGCTAATTTCCCCTCTTCAACATAATCCGTTCTTATAGTTATAACATTAAATGTACATACGTATATGTACACGTTATGAAATCAATTTTTCCCTTCCAATTCGTGTTCATAAATGGTATTCTTTAATAGTGTCCTATAACTTTTTCAGCAATGCATTACTAAAGTGAAGACTGAGCGTGTAATCGTCGCCATCCCATTCTCATGAATGAGAATCAATTCTATTTCATATACTTTTGTTTTCCAATTTTAAAAAAAATTTTTTTTAACAAACATACTTTCTTTATCTTTTCAATGCTTCAAAGGGATTTTTACAAATTAAATTTACTTTAATTTGATATTTAAAAAGTCAACAGGACGCTTCATGATTTTTATGATTTCAAATTTCAATTACAATTTGTTTCGTTTTCCAAATTAGGAAGAAAAAGAAAAGTTTTACAAATAAATTTTTGTTGTTTGACAGTTTAAAGAATTCAAGAAACAACAATGTAGTTAAAACAATTTCTCTACAAGACTGCAAAGAACAAAAATCATTTTGAATTTTCTAATCGTTTTTTCATTCTCAAATCCAAATCAGCGATTATCTAGGAAAATAGATTTTTAATACGGGTACTTCTGTATATTTTTCGATTCAATTAAGAAAACTATTAGAAAAAGATTAAGCAGATGGAAAGATTTGAATTGAAAAATGGAATCAAAAGGGAGCAAAAAAAATAAAAAATAGTTGATTGATTCTATTTCTTCCGTTTTACATATTAAATCCTTTTTCCTATATCTGGTTTATCTAACAAATTTTATTTTTATCTTTTTATTTCAGATATGCCAAGCATCAAATCAATTTGGTGAACAAAGAATTGAAATACGTTTAATAGTTAATTCATATGTTTCTGTTCATATTTTGCCTCAAGTACAAATTGTTAATTCAGGTGGGACAGCAATATTTAATTGTTCAACAACTGGTACATCAATTGATGGCATCGAATGGTTGCATAATGGCAAACCAATTACAACTGCACTAAATAGTGGAAATAGTGATACAAGTGGTAGCGCATCAGCATCTGCAACATCAATTAGCCTGGAAAGAGATAAGTACGTTGATTATCATTTTTTATTTTAATATAAGACTTAAAAGAGTAACTGTTTTTTGTTCTATAATTTTCAAGTCACATACCCGACTAATAACTGAGATGTTAAGTGTTTTTAATTGCTGAAACAATTCTAAAATTATTTATGAAATGTAACAAAGGTTCAAAAGTTCGGTAAAACTCTTGAGTACTTATTGGAAATAGTGCCATTTCCTTCGAAATCCCGAAAGATTGCTATATAAACGAATTGTTGAGACTTTTGAGATTAATTTAATTTAAGTTAGCTTGCTGTGAGTCTCTTGATTTTATACTTTTTGTTTTCCAAACAAAAATAATCTTTTTAATTCTTAATTTAAGAAAACTGATTGTTCTTGAATGTGAAAATTTTATTTTTAAATAAAATTTCTTTGAACTTGAAGTAACTTAGCCAAACTAAAATTAGAGATCTATGGGGGTTTTCGCTTATGCACGCTGCGCTAGAAGTTCTACATTAGAACTAAAATTTCTAAGCAGCAGCGTTACGCAGTATGCAAAAACTTCAGCTAAGTTTTTTTTAGCTTACGCAGTCTACAAATTCTGAAACCTCTAAATATTCAGTCGTTCGAAAGTAACAGAATGACATTGTTTATGAAATAGTACCGCAATACATTTCGCCCCCCAATACACTGCAAAATATGGAAATTTTAAACTTAAAGAAAACTTACTTTAATAACCCTTCAATATCTGAATCTGCCATTTTGAGATTTAAAATTTTTTTGAATTTTAAATTTGAAAAAAAAAAGTTTCAGGAGGCAGCGACAAAATTTAATTTCTGACATTTCTTTATTAAAGATTGAAATTTTCGAACGCCAGTAATTTTCGAACGATCTATATTTTTAGTGTATGTAGCGTGAATTTTCGAACGTGCTACAATTTAGAACTATTCTAGAACTGAATAAATGAAAACCCCCTATATGTTTTCGGCTTGGCTTTTACATCCTGCTTTTGAAATGTGTCTTATTGTTTATTTTTACATTTTAGGAACCTTAAATTGTCATACACTATATTTTAGACCTGCCAATTGAATATCGTACGCAACGTGTGTCTATAATAATGATCAAACTTTTATTAAATTCATATTTCTTTTTTTTGTAATTTTCAATCATTCCCATTATCATCATTATCACGAATCATCGTTACAATGGAACGTATAGCTTTTATCTCCTTAAATGAATTTAAACTTCCTTTTTTGTGTTTTTGTCTCTTTCTTTTCATTCAACGTACACTTTTTTCTTCTTAAATATCAATTTTTCGCTTTTAAAATCACAGAAATCACATCACGTACAGTTAATTTTTGAATATAAATAAATATAGATGGATGAGTGGGTAAATGAAGAAGGAAAGAAAAAAAAAACATTATTTTTTCTATTCTTCTTGTAAAAAATTTTTTATCATCCTTCCTCAATCTTCTTTAGTCCTTTCCATATCCTTCTTTTTTTTTCTCGTATTCTTTTGGATGTTTATTATATTGCAATTCTGTGTTAATCGTCGCTTGCTTAGGATTTTCTATATTTTAATAGGACGAATATATTATGAATTTTATTTTTAACTATTTGGCTCAGATTTGGCTCAGTTTGTATGCATGTGGCAAGGTAGTTGCAGGTAATTATGTATGTGTTATATTTATGTATATCTATGTAAGGGAAATGAAGAAAACGTTAAACTTGTAGAAAATTTTGTAAATGAGAAAAAAATTAATGTTCACCCTCTGGTGATAGAAAAATCTACAAGTGTTTGATGGTGCTACATTTAGTTTAATACTTTAATATTAACTCATAGTGTAGTACGTACTTTGGAAAATTATTTTCAATATTTTGTTGTTTTGTCATGTTTTATATTTTGTGTAAGGATAATTCTATAAATACAGTAGAATCTTATTAATTGTGAATAAGCCAAATTGCTGTAAGTTATCAAGTTCTGCAAGAGTATAATTAAAATTTCGCAGAATGATCTACGATTTTCTAATATACTAGTTTTGAAATTTTGAACTTGCAAAAAATATTTGAGCTGGGTCCCGTAAGATAACTTTTTCCTTATATCGGAAAAAATCTGATAAATTCTAGAAGCAGATTTTTTTCTCTTGAACAAATTCATTACAAAATTTTTAAATGTTTAGGAAACTTAATCTATAGCTTGCAATATTTGGTTGCTATCATCTATCTGCATGAATGGCATTTGGATGCATATTCCATCTTCTGGTTCGTGTTTGTTGCCGACACATGTGGTGTCAAAAACCTTCTGCTGTTATTGATTTTTCGAAACAGAATTGAAATGTTTTTATTGCGAATACGACCCCAATGGTTATTGCAAACGAATCCAAATCTAAAATTATGTTAAATCAGGAATTTTAAATTAAAAACTGATGGGCAGTGAAATTTTGTTTAATAATTCAATTCGTGAATTGTGTCTTATAAAGAATGATTTAACCGTAGTTGGTATAAGCACATTTATTTTCTAAAAATTTTCACGATTATGTAATTTTATAAATGAGTAAATTATTATATAAAGATCCTTGTATTATGCCTCGATTAACTGAAATATAATTTTTTTTTCCTTGGTGGGTAAGTCACAGAATAAGAGAGTTCCCAGTTGAGAGAAAAAACCTAAAAAGAAAATTAAAGAAAAAATGAATAGTGAAAAAAAATTCTTTGTATATGCAAAAAAAAAAAAATTGTAAATGAGTTTTAACTAATATTGTAGCGTATCGTATGGCATAAGGTGGATTGAAAAATAAAAAGGACTAAAATAATATTATATTATACTTATTTGTATGCAACTATATGGAATAATGAATGGATGAAAGGAAAAATTATAAAAACGAAATGATAATGTGTAATAGAAACTCTTAAGAGCGGAAAATAATTAGGACTAATTAGTGAACTTTTGTACACAAATGTTGTGTATTCCAAGTTATAAAAGCAAATCTTCTTTCCTTTTCTGTTAAAGTACTCGTATAAGGTTTTTATTTTTGTAAAATTATATTTTCACAGTTTGTTGCTTAAATGCAAGTTATGTTAATTATTTTCGTATTTAATTTTTAATAATAAATATAAAAGTTTTATATGTAAATTGCTTAGAAGGGAAACCAATATAATGTAAGAAAATAATGGAAGAAACGAAAAGTTTAATGTCGGTTTAACTGACTTTTGTAAATTCATTCATTTTGTGCTCTTCATAATTCAGTACAATATTCCAATATAAAGAGAGATCAGAAGGTAAATATTATCGTAAGATTTTATAGTTTCCAGTTGAAAAATAAATATAATATAAATTGCGCTCCTTGAGTTTGCAAGAATTGTTAGTGAAGCCATAAGTTTAATAATATTTGGTGCCAACGTATTTAAAAGTTCTTAAATGTCAAAAAAAAAATTTAATATTGTAGGCTCAAATATTGGTATGATAATGATTGGGACCACAACGATTGCCGGTAGTACGCTAGCTCCAAAAAGAATTAACTTGATTTTTATGTTCACTTTCATCCATCTTACTAAGTTTTCAAATTGAATGCTAGAATAAGATTTTAAAACTTGACTTGACTTTGAATAAGTTGGACACACTTAAAATTAGTATTTCACAATATTCGCATATAAGTGGATGAATATTTTTGTTCATTAAGATGTTTAAAAATATTTGCATAAATACAACTTGCACTTATTTCAGAGTCAGGCACATATGAATATTAAATTCTATGTAGACGTCTAATTGAAAACATGCTGCAATATTCTTTAGTTTTAATTTAATTAATGGTCTGCAATATGAAAAATTAAATTATAGGTAAAGAACTAGTTTGTGGTAAAATTCATATGTGTGTGAATGTATGTTGAAATTATAATTATATAAATAATTACGATATCTTATACATATAAATAAAAGCGAGATAATTTTAGGTCAGTTTATTTGTAACATATGTGAGTAATTTTATATGTTTTATTCAACTATCTTAAAGTTCATTTTATGAACTTGTTGACTTGTAAATTAATATTTTTGTGCCAAGTATCACATCTTATAAACACAATATAATAGCTAGAATTAAAAATTAAATAAAAATTTTGTTAATCTCATAGAAGGAATCTAAATTCTTGCGTTAAAATTTTAGGCCATTATTTGGAAAATTTTAGAAAAATAGCTAATCTTAGAAAGAGCACAACGAAATTTTGAAATCAAAACTGTTTTCTTATCGATTTACAAGTAAAAGGAAATTAATTTTAATTCATCACGATTGTAGTTTTGAGAAATGCAATAATCTAGCTTATGCTGCCTGTTTGAGCCCCAATTCATATCAGTTTGAGTCTTTGGTCATTTTAAAATCCAAATGTATTAGAAAGATATTGCAATAATTTTAATAAGTTGTGTCACATACCATAGAAATTCAAATGCGCTCTTCCAAAAAATTATTGACAAATTGTATTGAAAAGCTTTCTCTGAATGAATGATCACAATACACCTTTGTCCCTTACATTAAACAAAATATTAACCATCTACATTGTCAGCCTACTTCATGATGAACTCGAAAATTACGTGAGAACAGAGATTGAGAATACGAGAAGCTAATTTAAATCAAATAAAAAACCGTAAAAGCGTATTTAATTCAATGTAAAATAAAAGAAAAACAAACAAACAAAAAAATAAGTATGCGGAGGTGGTAAAAAATGTGACATTTAATAAATATTAAATTAAAAAAAAATCCTTTTTATATGAACTATTCGAAACGTTTATTTTGTTCTTTAAAACTTTTATAATTTTCCTATGTAATTTGATGTGTTTTTAGTATCAAATTTTTTATTTAATATTTTTTTGTAGTGGATTGCTTTGAGTAATATTGCAAAATTACAAAATTGAAATTATTTTGGATAAAAATATCATAAAGTGAAGAGCTTTTCCAAGTACGCAATGTAAAGGTTTTCAAGTGATTGTGCGGAAAAATACGTAATTGAAAAAGGTGGTGAATAAAAAAAAAACACCTGC